ATACTGCTTCCTTTGTGGCCATATTGCCTGGTCCTGTTTGCCTCAGACTAACATTTCATGCACTTCAGGAATAGTATTATGAGACCTGTCTGTATACAGAGACCCTAATTCTATAAATCACCAAGGCTGGAAATCCTGACCCAGACATGGGTGCCAAAATGAGGCCATTCTTGATTATTCAGGCACACAGCCTAGGGGAATTACTGACTGATTATTTATGAGAACAGTCAGAGCAGTGTCCCCATCGGTAGGAACCATACAAATAGAAAAGATGGGAAGAAACCTATCACAAACTTTGACAGAAGTTATTAATGATACCAGATGGAACAGAGATCAGTCTCAACACATTGGCATGAGTAACAATGGACAACTGCCTTGCTGTAGATTCCTTACTGGCTAGCCATGGTGCTGTCTGTGTCATTGCTTATACTTCTTGTTGCACCTGGATCAATGAAATAGGCAAGGTGGAACAAGCTATGTATCACCTTAAGGAAAAGGCACATGACTCTCATGTTCTATTGGATTTGTTCTCTTGGCCTAGGTGGAGCAGTTAGGATAACTGGTTCCAAAGCATTTTACAGGGATTATTAATTCTTGTTTTTGTCATAGTTAAAGAGAAACCAAAATGGAAGCCACAGTTTGAATACAGACCTAGACCAAACACTTAGAGTCATCTAATCAAAACTTAAAGCTGTCCTGATTTCCCTGAAATGATGACTCTGACCTTAAACAAAACTTAAGCTTTCTTCATGTCAGCATAACCTAGCAAATCAGCTACAGTAAAAAAGTAAGTTTATGTAATACTACCGCTCTAAAAGGAACGTAAGTTTCTGGCAGCCAATTAGAATCACAATACAAAACAATGTACCTCCTCATGCTTTGTAAGCTGAGCTGTAAGTGCTCAGCGTGGAGCTTTAAGCCACTTTTGGTTTGGAAGTCTCCCTGTTTGTGAAGGGTTTGTTTCTCACTTAATAAAATATTCATCTCAAGTAAAGCTCTCTGAATTTTCTTTTGACACATTCTATCCAGAGTCTTAAATGCTTCTACATTCGTTCTCTCATCAGTTATCTCCATGATGATACAACAAAAAGGGCAAGAAGATCTTGCAATGCAGTTGACCATGCAGACAGCTGAGCCATCTCCAAGCAGTGAAGACCTGGATCTTTGGCCTTCCCTGAATTCGTCAACCTCCAGCAAATGAGAGAATTGTCAAAAACAGGGGCCAAGTAACTGAATATACAGACAATGGCCAGACTAAACATAAAAATAGAACTCTGAGCCACCATCTTCAGCATGCAGTCCAGGAAGCCAAACAACCCCTATGGCAGCAACACAAGATGTCCAGGACTTGATTAATAACTGACAGCTTTGCTAATTTTTGCCCTTGATGTCAACTGAGGACCAACCAACTGGGAAAGCCAGATACGCGCCCCCTAACCAATCACATACGATGCCCCGCTTCTAGTAAGCCCACCTATAGTTTCCCCAGGCCGACACCTACCCCTTCAGGCACACCTTTTTTCCACTTTATAGAAAGTTTTCCTGCTCCTCTGCCTGCTTCTGACACTCCGCCAAACACAAGTGATGGTGGCTGACTCCCTTTTACTATAGCAAGCTCTGAATAAAGAGCCTTCGCTTGTCCCCACTTGGGTGATCTTTGTTTATTTCCACACAAGATAATCCATGAGTTGATACTTTTTGAAGTTGTATATAGGATGAGTATATTGGTCATTCATTTATACTGTCTTCTCTACCTTTGTATGTTTGAAATTTTCCACAATAAAAAATTTAAAATATTTCAAAAATGTCAATGTCATTAAACAATAATAACAGCAACAGAGAATGACTCTATATTAGCTATACATTATTGGAAAAATTGGGGAAAATGAAATTGGATCATATATTGGACAACCGTATTAGACCAACGTTAAATTTCCTGAGTGAATAATTTCGTTTGGTTATAGAGGAGAATGTCCTTGTTTTTAGGAGATAATGCTGAAGTACTTGAGATAAAGTGTCATGATGCCTGCAACTTACAAACAGTTCATGAAAAAGGATGTGTAGGTAGAGAAAATAAACGAAGCAAAACGTTAACAACTGGTGAAACTAAATGAAAGGTACTAAGTGTAAATTTAATGTTCTTACAATTTTTCCATTGGTTTAGAGTTTTTCAAAATAAAAAAGTTGGTGCAAAAAGAGCACAATAAAATACCTGTAATATTACAAAAAAAATAAAAGCAAAAAACTCCCAGATCCTTATCTATACATTTTTTTAATGGAAGGATAACTCAAAAAAACTAATAATAGTTAACTATATCAGGGAGGAGCAGACAGGATGGATGAGAGGGGATTGAAAACTAGATTCTTCAGAATGTACACTGTCCATAATGTTTTAAAAAGGTACTTTGTAAATTACTGTTATATTCCAAATAGCCTGTCAGTGATGATTTTCATTTCTTGCTTTACTTATTATTTAGTAGTGTGGTATAATATCTCCTTATTTATTAGTTTACCCATCCATCCATCCACCCAGGGGAACTGGTATACAGTTACTGTTTGTAAATGCACCTAAACATTACAAGATTGTCCTCTATTCAGAATACAGCTTTTATTGTATTCTTTTTCTGCATAATTGCTCATCATCTGACAGTGATTTAATATCTCCTTACTAGTTTATTTTCCTCATTTTGACCACTTTTCTCTAACTATCTGTGACGTACTCTTTGATGTTATTCTTTGGTACAAAACAACTGGGTTCATTATGCTTTGTAACATTTTTCATTGTATAGAGATGTCATCTTAGGAACTGAAGATTACAAGAAGTGAAGTGATGAAGAACAAAGATTCTCAATGAGAAATTACAAAACCAGTTCACTCATATACTATTGACTGAACCCAAATACCCTCAGACTGGTTCTTCGAGGGCTAAGCAGATAAAATGAAAGCAAGCGATCCCCTGGAAGTCTTCTTGCTAGTATTTTAAAATGTTTTATGGGGTGCAGAAATAACTTGCATTCTGTCACACACTTGAGATAAAGTGTCATGATGCCTGCAACTTACAAACAGTTCATGAAAAACGATGTGTAGGTAGAGAAAATAAACGAAGCAAAACGTTAACAACTGGTGAAACTAAACGAAAGGTACTAGAAAATGCTGGAGCCAGTATTCAGATCATGCCTCAGTTCCACCAATCAGAGTCAAAGCAGGAAGCCTTGGAGGTACAGAGTGACAAAACTGATTCATCTTGGCAGATTCTGCTAAAGCCTAAAAACCTTACAATTCTGTTTTGAAGCCAGCATGGGTCAGCTAATACAACTCAAGGCTTGCCAAGTGTAGGAAACTTAACATGGGGGTCTCTGCATAAGACCCCAAATGACTACACTTCCAAAACAAAACTGAATCGGAAATAAACTTTGCCATCCAGATGAGAATGCCAAAGGAACTTTTCTTGACCTTGCCTTTCTCACATATGTCTTGATCTAATGATGAACTACCACAAACCAGCCTTGTGGCCAACTCATGCTACATGCAGGAGTCTGAAATTTTTCAAGGATGTAATTTGAAGAGGCTTCAAGTTGGATGCATCCTGAAGAGAATGGCTCAAGGAAAAAATTACCAGTTTATAAAAGGATGAAATCATATCCCTACATTATGCCCGATTTAAAAAATTAACCCCAGGTGGTTCAAGAATTCAAACGTTATGATGGAAACTTCAGAAGTATAGTGAATGTCTTTAGACCTCAGGGCGGGAAAGAATTTCTTAAGCAAGACACAGAATGTACTTACCCTAAAGACTGATAAATCTGACTATACTAAAATTAAGAATTGTATTCATCAAAAGAAACCTTAAAGAAGGCGAAATGACAATTTAAACTAAAAAGATATTCACAGTATACACCATTGAAAAAGAATTAGTAAGAGATTAAGGGAGAATATATGAGAGACCTTTCATACACTACCTTATATCCTCAAGACTTTTTTTTTACAATATGCATGTATTATTATGTTGACTTTTTAAATTAAATTGAATAAAAATGTCCACAAGTTAGATTCAATATCTCCTCTCAGACAACTGCTGAGGCCTAGATGATGCAGATGAGGGAATTCAGTACATTAGTACCATCCCCCTTATGTAAATAATCGACACTTTCCGTGAAAAAGATTTAAAAAACAAACACTTCGTAACTAATTGTAAGAACAAAGTCGTTTGTACAGCAGACGCTGTCTATTCTAAAACAACTACCAAACTTGTAGAAATGCGCTAGGAGAAGTATAAGAACACGCACGGGTGACACACCGATTTCAGGACATGATTTCCTGCGGCGAGGGAAGGAAAGGTCTTCACCGACATCTGTTTTAAAGGTGAGAGAGCGGGGCAAATGTGGGAAATATTAACATCTTGTTAAATGGGGGGTAGGGGGGTACATGAGTGTTTGTTATACTTTTTTAAATGTGTGAAATCTTTCACAATTTAAACTTTTAACTAAAATTAAGAACATTGGGAAGAAATGTGCATCAACACTCGTCGTCTCTGAATTTTGGAAATAAACGAGATTTGTCTCCACTTGCTACGTTTCTAGAATGCCCACGTCTGACGTCTGTATTTTAAACACGACACACTTGTTTGAATGATTCTGAAGCGGTAATGAACCAGAGGCAGGAGATGAAAGAGAAGATGCACATTCCACGAGCCCGCCCTCGGCCTCACCCGCCTCGGGCGGAACCTTTGAACCTGGACCGGGCCTGGACGTGACCCAGCTCCAGCCAACCACACCGTCCATCAACCCTGGCGCCTCGGGGCCGGGCGTTACCTGACCGGGCGGCGTCTCCGAGAGCCGCCGGGTTCCAGGCGGAGGAGAAAGTGGGGCGACGCCTCGGCTCGCGGTACGAAGAGCCCCCAGAGCCCGCGCCCACAGGGCCGCCCGGGAGCAGGGCGCAGGCGCACCGGAGGGGGCGGAACCGGCCGCAAGCCGTAAAGGGCCCAACTTCGCGCCTCCACAAATCCCGCGAGAGCTGCTTGCCCCTTACCCGCTAGCTGCCGGTTCGAGCATGGTCGACGACGCGGGCGCCGCCGAGGCCCGGGGGGACGGGCTACTGGGGTTCCCACTTACGCCGCCACGGATTCGCTCCCGGCCGTGGTGGTTTCCTGTGCAGGAGCTGAGGAACCCGCTGGTGTTTTCTTTGGAGGCGTGGCTGGCCGACTCGATCTTCGGTGCGCGACCCGGGGGGTGGTGGTGGCCCCCCAGTCGGGAGAGGCCGCCGAGCCGCGCTCCGCAGCCCTTTCCGGACGCGCGGGCAGCGTGTGATGCGCGGTGCCCGGCTTCCTGCCCTGCCCGTCCCATCCCCTTCGGGCCAGCTCCTCCTGCCCTTCGCCGTGCCCTGCTCAGTCTCTCCTTTCGCGTTCAGGCCCGGACCGAGCCGTGGTTCCGGAAATGGAGTGGATGAGCCAGGCCCTGCTGACGGTGGACGCAGTTCACGCCGGGAAGTTGGTGGAAATCACCGTCTTCGGGCGGCCAGCTGTCCAGCGCCGGGTGAAGAGCGTGCTCCTGAGCCTGGCGTCGGGTCACCGGGAGCAGCGCGCCCGAGGTGAGGGGCATGGAAAACGTGCGTGGGGAGGGAGCCACGGGGGAGCCACCTGGCCATACCTGGTCTGCTCGCAGCCTCCGTCTTCCCAAAACTCCCAGTATGCTACATGTGGTCCCTGGGCATCCCTTGTGAGTGGAGTCCAAGCAGGACCCTGGGAAGGTAGGCTGAGATGGGATGCATTCAGGCCCCTCACTGCCCGTGCCAGCCTCCGCTTGGTCGCGCCACTGTTTCCAGGTCCTAGGTTCAGAGCTTCCACCCCGAAAAATGATACTGCCAGCACACATCCACCCCCATGAAGGAGTAGTTTGAAACAGTGAGCATTTTTCCTTCTCCAGCTGAGAAGATGGAACAACTCGAGGAGTTCTTGAAGGCCCAGGCACCAGGTCCCCAGGTCCCCCAGAGTCCTGTTGCATAAGTGCTCTCCGGGGCATGAGAACAGTCCTCCTTCCGCTACTAAAGTTCAGGAGAAGCAAATATCCTTAAATCTGTGCATTTATTTTTTTCCTGTATCTTGATGGACAGTGGTTTGATTCTTTTGCTGCAAACGTGAGTTTGTAGTGCCATTCTAGTAAATAAATGGATTTCCTTTTTTCCAATGGCATAAAGATCTTGGCTCACTCAAAATTAAGCAAATTTATAAAAGATTGACTCTGTTCATTCATATCTTGATGTGAGAGGCTGATAGGTGGAGGGTTTATTTTTGTTTTTTTCTTAGTTTCTATCGTTTTGAAACTACTAACCCTTTTATGATTTTATGGTCAGAGTCAGGCCCTCATGCACAGGCGGCAGAAATGCAGGGTCAGTCTGCTTTGGGTTTCTTTTGCATCATTTGTTCTCAAACTTTAATGTGTGTAAGGATCACCTTGAGAGCTTGCTAAAACACAGTTTCTTAGCCCCTTTTCCACTGATTCTGATTCAGTACATTGAGCCCATGAATATGCATTTCTAACAAGCTGTTAGGTAATGCCAGCGCTTCTTCTCTGAGCCTCTCATTTTTAAGCAGGTGTTTGGTTCCTGAGTAGCAACCAGTGGGCCCGTGTGTTTTCTTGGAGTGGAGTCTCTGACCGTGAACGTGGGTGGGCATTCCAACATGCAAGCTGAGGCAATCAGCATTCATTCTGCTGGTGCTGTGATTTACCAGAAGGAGCCACGGTAATGGGCAGCTTGTGCATTGGCAGGTGGCCTTCCAGCCGGCTGTCTCCTCTGTCCCCCTCCCCAAGCAGGTGTCCTGCATGGGCTGGGTTGTTTTTCCATTACCCTTTACAATGCTATGACCAATCTGTGCAAAACAGTTCCAATCCCATGGTGCTTCCACTTTCAGGAAGCAGAATTCTTGGAGGAATGATTGCCAAGAGCTCTGTGGCGTTAGACACAAAGTTGGAGTTGATTTAACTCATACGGTTTCTTCACCCCTTAGCAGTAATGGATTCTAGCCGTTTGCAAGGATTTTAAACACACAGATACACAAATCTTTGATTACAAGGGATATTGAACGTTATTCTACTTCACATTTCTGTTAAACGCTTTTATACATTTTTCTTTATTCATTTCTGTCATTCTTTCAACTCTGAAGATAAGGATTTTTATTATCTGTAAAAGCTTTTGTAACAAATAATGGTCCGTTACACCCAATACTGTCTACCCCTTTGCTTCTCAAATTTTTTGCATACGAAAAATTTTTATTGTATGTAGTTAAACCAATTACTGTTTTCTGTGTGATTTTTTTTCCCCTCATCCTCTGTTTTACATTTAAGCTTAGAGTGCCTACTTTTTCTCCTTTTGTAGAAATTTGATGAATATTACTACAGGTTTTTCCTGGTGGGATTTTTACAAAATCATGGAATATTTTTGACTGTTCAACATTTGGAGGAAGAGGATTATGCTTAATACTTGTCCAGTTTTCCAAAAATTATTCAAAACTAAGTTAGTAAATGATCCTGTTCTCTATCCTTTATACATGTTAACATATTGAAGTCTTAACCCGCAGTACCCCAGAATGTGACTGTATTTGGAAATAGGGTCTTTAAAGAGGTAATTAAGGTAAAATGAGGTCATGTGGGTGGGCCAGTATGACTTTTTTTAATAAGAAGAGGAATATAGACACAGGTATGTGCATACACAGAGGAAAGACCAGGTGAGGACACAGCAAGAATACGGCTATCTCTGCAAGCCAAAGAGAGAGGCCTCAGAAGAAACCAAACCTGCTGACACCTTGACCTTGGACTTCTAGCCTCCAGAACTTTTAGAAAATAAAAATCTGTCGTTTAAACCACCCAGTTAATTATTTTGTTACAGTAGCCCTAGCAAACTAATGCAACATTTAATATCTAAAAAAGGTAGTTGCTCTGTCATTCTAACTTTCAGAATTTGGGAGTAATATTAGCTGTATATTTATTGATAAGAGCTTGTATCACATACCAGGCCCTTGAGCTAAGCACCGAAGTAGGATTCTTAGAGCCTAAGTAAATTGCTGAGATCACAGAGCTAGGACTTCAGGGTGGGTGAGATTTGAACCAAAATGCTGAGTCTAGGATCTTACCTCTATAATATACTTTCCCACGTGCTTTTATTTTTCTCCACAGCTGAATTTCAGCTTATTCTCTGTGTGTGTGTGTGTGTGTGTAAGTGTGTGTAAGAGGAATTAGAATACACTTAATTTGTTAAGACTCCACAGTATTTGTTATTCTATTGAGGGACAAGACAATGTTTTTTTTCCCTAACAAGTTGCTAAGGTAGAAGTATCTACTAGTACCACACTGAAAAATAGCATTGTTGATTTTTCTGATGATAAACATACTTACATCCTCAATATTTTTAAATAAGGCAATATAAAAAGTATTAAAGTAATTACTCAAAAAATCTCACTGCTCATATGGTCCTTTCAAGTAGCTTTCCATTACTCCAAATATTTCTCTATAATTTTAGTAAACATTTATGTATAGCATTCCATTCATACCAAAACCATGTACATCCACAGTGTGAAAAGATTCATCAAACAATACAAAGGGGACACGTGCATGTTACCAGCAGCCAGAGAAGAAAAGATATTACCAGCACTCCAGAAGCCCCCATTTTTGCATCCTCCCCAAGGATAACTACTGTTGTGACTTAACTATAAATGGACTCAATCTAAGATTTGTCCATGTCGCCAGCAGTTGTAGTTCCATTGTATGAATAAACCTTAATTTAGTTTTCCATCCTGTTGACGTGCATTTTGATTGTTTCCTATTTGGACTTATAATGAATAGGGGTACTATGAAAATTGTCGTACATGACTTGGTGCATGCATATGTGCATTTCTCTTGAGTATATGTCTGGGATTGGAATTGCTGGGTTATAGGACGTGCATAAGTTCAAGTTGCTAAGGTGACTGAACCAGTTGACTTTCAGCAGTGTATGGGACTTCGAGTTGCTCTACATCTTCGTCAACAGTCGATTTTTATTTTGGAGAATTTAGGTATTAGTGCTATTGCACTGCAGTTTTTAAAAATCTAGTCACTTAATTGGTTCCATAATATGAAATTGTGAGTGTACAGTTCGCTTTCTTTTTTAGTAAACTTATGAGTTGTGCCACCATCAGCAGAGAGCAGTTTGGGAACATTTCCATCACTTCACAAAGTTCCCTTATGCCTGTTTGCAGACCATCTGCTGGCTGTCTCCACAAAGTTGCCTTTTCTGAACATTTGAGATAGGTAGAATAATATTCAATGTAGTCTTTTACATCTGACTTCTTTATCTAGGTGGACTGTCTCTGCTTTTTGATTGGGGGATTTAATGCGTTCTAATTTAATCATCAGTATGATTGGATTTCTGTCTGCCATTTTGCTTTGTTTCCCATCATGTCTTTTGGTTTTTTTCCTCCATTTTATGTTAGATAAATTTTTATATACACTTTTTTTTTTTTAAGATTTAATGTTATTTATTTTTGACTGCGTTGGGTCTTCGTTGCTGCGCATGGGCTTTCTCTAGTTATGGCGAGCGGAGGCTACTCTTAGTTGCAGAGCGTGGGCTTCTCATTGCGGGGGCTTCTCTTGTGGAGCATGGGCTCTAGAGCACAGGCTTAATAGTTGTGGCACACGGGCTTAGTTGCTCCGCGGCATGTGGGATCTTCCCGGACCAGGGCTCGAGCCCATGTCCCCTGCGTTGGTGGGCGGATTCTTATCCACTGCGCCACCAGGGAAGTCCCTGTGTACACTTTTAAAGTGATTTTTTTTCACCTTTGTTTTGCCTTAGGGATTATAAAAAACTCATTACATTCCGCTTCAGATTAGTGAAAAGGAGGGAAGGAGGAAGGAAAAACAGTTGAATAAGTGGAGACACCATGTTCTTAGATAGCAAAGTCAAGTGTTGCATGTTTGTGGTCTGTTCTTCCCAGAACTCAGTGCAATTCCAATTATAGTCACAACCAATTTTTAGGGGCTGAGGCTGTAGGATGAGAGTCCTTAAAGTCTGATTTTACATGTGATTCAGAGGGACCCAAAAAGGCTATAATAAAGGTTTTTTGGTTTTTTGCGGTTTTTTTTAAATAAATTTATTTATTTTTGGCTGTGTTGGGTCTTTGTTGCTGTGTGCGGGCTTTCTCCAGTTGCAGTGAGCAGGGTCTACTCTTTATTGCGGTGCACAGGCTTCTCATTTCAGTGACTTCTCTTGTTGCAGAGCACAGGCTCTAGGCACGCGGGCTCAGTAGTTGTGGCTCGTGGGCTCTCGGAGCGCAAGCTCCAGTAGTTGTGGAGCATGGGCTTCGTTGCTCGGCGGCATGTGGGATCTTCCTGGACAGGGCTCGAGCCCGTGTCCCCAGCATTGGCAGGCAGATTCTAAACCACTGCACCACCAGGGAAGTTCTATAATAAGGTTTTAACTAGGGTCTAGTAAAATATTCTGATTAGGTAAATAGGGCAGATGTGTATTAACTAAACCGAAGTACGCAGGTGGACATAACAGAAATAGCCTGTCACTTATGCTCCACAGCTATGTTCCCAAGATTTCCAGAGAACCCATAAACAGCTGAAATTGTATTCTTTGATACCTTTAGTGAGCACACTCAAAGACACTGTCCACACTAAATTATTTGCTGCCAACCAGTTTACCCCGCCCCCAAAACGTGTAGACAGGATTCGCTCTTCTCAAACTGCCTGCGGTCTTCTTTCTTGCTTACAAATCCTGCTCTTATTTTTTGATGTTTCCTCATGGTTAGATCTAAGTTACATATTTTTGGCAAAAATACTGGGTAAATCATATTGTGTCTTTCTCAGAGCATCACATCAGGAGGCACATGGTTTGTTTTGTTTTTTTCCCACTCTTAAGTGATATTTTAAAAGGCCTTGTTTTGCTTAGAAGTGTGGAGTTGAGAAATTCTGATGAGGGAAATAGTGCCAACCTGGTGTAACTACAGTGGAGTGGCAGGAGGACCTGGGGCAGACTGTCAGCGTGTGCTCCACAGCTGAGCCCAGACGTTTTCCACACAGTCTGTCAACAGTGAACCTTTTTCTTTGGTGCCTCTAGTCAGCCTATTCAAAAACTGTTCAGACTGGGGCTTACCTGGTGGTGCAGTAGTTAAGAATCTGCCTGCCAATGCAGGGGACACATGCACGTAGAAATTCAAGACAGCAGTTTGTAATTGAGTAATTGGAGAAACAAACTAATCAACCACTAAGGGAAGGGCTAAATCAAACGGTACCCATCCTGAGAAAAATCAAGCTGCTAGAAGAAGGGGAAAAAAGGTGTATACTATTACGTAAAAGTGCAAGTTAAACTGTTACTTCCATAAGACAGTAAGCTTGAAACGGCAGATAGGAAAGTCTGGGGACTTTGATCTGGGTGAGAACTTGGATGTCACTGGTCCATGCCCTGCTTGGAGAGGAAACTAGTAAGGTTTTTTGGTTTTGTTTTGTTTTTTAAATCAACACTTTATAGGCATAAGGAATTTTACCTAAGTGTTATCACATCTAAATGCTTTTATTTAAAGTTCAGTCTCCTTTTCTTGGCTCATCTCCAACCAAGGATGTTTACTGTATCTTACCATTTTCTTTCATAAAATCATCTCAGACATGTCTATGTGTGTATATATAGGGTATTTTAAACCTAGTTTCAGGATAGTCACAGAGACTCCTAAATGTTCCATTGGTTTGCTACCTGCTGTTCAGTAATCTTTCTTATAAAGGACAGAATTTGATGTTCTGGTCATGTGAGTACTACTTAGAGGGGGAAAAAAAAATCAAGATTGAGTCTTAATTCTACTCTGATGCAGCCTCAATTGAAACTTTGAGTCTGCATTGATTTTGAGTCTAAATGTTTAAGGTTCACTCAGCCTTGCCTCTTCTGAAAATAGTTAATAGCCTATTTGTAAATTCAGCTTTGCATCTTTATTTCCCTTGTTATAAACTAAAGGCTTATTCAAAATTGGAGTGATCATTACTGGTGACCAAAGGGTCTACAATAGACATACCACTCCCTGCTCTTTAAAATTAGGTTTCCTAGGATTTTTAAAATGAAAATTTTCATAGCACTAAATTGACTTGTGCTATTTAAAAAAAAAGAAATCCTAACACCCAGCTGTTAACAGTTTACTTCTAAGCCAGGGCACCAGCACTTGGAGATGACAGCTGCGCTGTCCTGGCCATTTCAGTTTTCCCCTAGTCGCCAGCAGCTGCCTGAGCTGGGAAGTCTCTGCTTGCAGCGCTATGATGCGCCCACCCGTGAGGCCCGTTGAAACCAAGTTTTCGCATCCCTTGTCTCTGAGTAGAAATATCTCAGGCGTGGAAAGGTTTCCCATGAGGACAGACTCGACGGCCCGAGAGGTCCCTCACCTTGCAAAGCCAGATACGCGCGGTGAAGGAGCACAGGGGAAGCACCTGCCCGAGGCGCGAGAGACTGCGGCCCCCGGCGGCTAGAAAGCCAAAAGCTCTCACCTGCCTCTGGGTAGAAAGCCACCTGGAGCAGATAATGGCTGCTGGAGCGATGTGCCTGTCTCTCCCCTTCCCCCTGCCAATTAACGGACGTTAGGGAAATTCGATGCTTTATTAGAACTCTTTAGATTCGTGTTTGCAAACATTTAACAGGGAGTGGCGGGGAGCGGGGAAACCAAGAACAACCCACACCATTCTTTTCTCAGCTTCTGCAGCAGAATAGGGTTCCAGGAGGGGCTTCCACTTTGACCTTGCCTGGCTCTCTTGCTCCTGGGCCCGAAACGCGTTTAGAACCTGGTAACCGGACCCTGGATAGCTTCGGGGAAGCTCTGGGTGGCCGCCTCTCGGGCTGCGCCGGGGGACCGCTGGGTGGCCGCCTCCCGGGCAGCGCCGGGGGACCGCTGGGTGGCCGCCTCCCGGGCAGCGCCGGGGGACCGCTGGGTCGCCGCCTCCCGGGCCGCGCCGGGGGACCGCTGGGTCGCCGCCTCCCGGGCCGCGCCGGGGGACCGCTGGGTCGCCGCCT